TCTTTGGAGATTCCGATTCTGATTTGCATCGTGGCTCTGCTCGAGCCCCTTACGCGGGAAACCGGGAAACTCAGTACGACCGAATGAGCTAGCAAGCAGTCAGCGACGCGGCAGTAGATAGGCGAACAAACATGCCCCTGGAACTTTCGGGGTAAATAAGGAGACGCGTTCCCAGAGGGAAGTCAGATTCTGATGCGATGCTTCGTTAGGGCCCGAGAAGTAAGACAATCTACCATGATTCACAATACAGGCAATTTGACCCGGCTCGACCCGGGACGAGCTGTTCCGATTTGGGATGCAGACCCACTGTCAAATAATGGCTCGTTATCGATAAGAAGTGGACGTGCAGCCACAGCCATCGCGAGCGACACTCTCGCCCGTTGTCGATGCGCTGCGGAGACGTTCGATGAGTTCCCGAATTGAGGTCTGGTATGTTGTCTGGTAAGCAAATCACCGAGTTTCGTCCGCTCACCCAAGGAAGCGTTGTCCTCCGGGGTCCTGATTCTTCTTTCCTGGGTTCCGTCTTCGATGATGCGCTCGATATCCCCATGCTCAGGTTTCTGGGCTGTTGGATGCCTTCTCCCCTAGATGAGTTCGACTGCTTGACTACTTGCGTGGATATCTACGCAAAAAATAGCGGTCTCATATGCATACACCTAGCATGACCTTCTGTCTGCAGAGGGTAGCTCGGGCTCTCACAATTTCTATCGGAAATTCTCCAATGACGGACGATGCGGTGGGTACCAAATAGGCTGAGAGATCGCGACCTGAGGCGAGAAGCTTCTCGGGAATACGACATGACCCGCGGAATTCGTGCACGGCTCTATCCTCAACCATTCCCACCACGAAAGCCACGTCGCCGTGAATCAGGCGCTTGCTGGGACCAAATATCCACCTACATGTCCGCCGATTTCCAGCCGGACCAGCGTCCGCGGAAGTCCGAAAACAGCCATGGTCTCCATCAAGCGCGCTCTCCAAGCTCGAGCAGAGCGACCCCTAATCGACGCGGACGCTCCGAGGAAAAGTTTTCTATGATCGAGCGGAACTTTCACAACCTGTTCGTTCTTTTAGTGGGCTACGCCCTAATGTTTTCCGCGCAATCTCGACGCTCGCCCAAGCGGAATTAGCACACCATGTGGCGCAAAAAGGCCATTATTCGTTGTTCATCATTTAATCAGCCGTAACACCACGAGCCGTACTTGATCATCAGCTTGTAGTGGGTACAGCCTTGGGAGCTGCCTCGGTCGAGCGTGTAAGATTCAATGCACGGGATCAATTGCCGTCAATCTCAGTTCATCTTATGGTATCGTTTTCCCGTTATGTCCTTCATTGCGACGCGAGTGAGACTCGATCGATGAAGCTTCGCTAAGTCGATCACTGTGACGGTGTATCACCGTACTAGCTCTTGGCACTCGTCTCGTCGCTAGCTCTTGACAAGCTCGTATTCGATTGTTTTGAAGGAAGCCAAGCCGAGGACCACGAGTAGTCGCTGTCGACGGCATTGTATGTACAATAGTCGACCAAGAATCGAGGGGAAAATCCTCCGGGACCATCGGGCTTTCGAAAGGAAAAGCTCATGATATCTAATGGGAACTACCTACCCCCCAAGCGAATTGATCATTTGAACAGTAATGGCGCCCTCCATTAAACGTAATTCAGAGTCTTGAGCGCTTCCCCGGAGCTCCGCAAGCATCGAGGTGTGAACACGTCAGACATCACCATCGTGGGAAACGTCGGGCGGAGTGAATCGACCCTTTCCGGGGAATAAAACCAATGTTCGTTTTCGAGGGCATCACGGCGAGCTTACGGAGATCGACGTACGCTCGGAGTCCGAGAAGCAATGAATCGCAAGCCACCAGAGCGGCGATGAACGCTCAACTCCCAGACGGAGGGACGAACGGACGGTCATTCATTCAGTCAGTCAGTCAGTCACTCACTCTTTCGGTGAAAGAGTGTGTGAGTGACTGAGCGAGCTCTCCAGTGAGTCCAACAACTCAACTCGACAAAATCCGGAGCTACGCGCTGGCGACGACGGCCCGGCTCGACTCTCTGGCAGCTTTCAGCTGTCAAGCGTTTCGGTCGGAGCAGACTCTTCAATCTTCACTCCATTGGGCTCCGGAGATCGTTGAGTAAGCTGCAAGGCATCCCGCCTTTTTCCGGCAAGACCCTCTCCATGGAACTATTCTCGATGCGGTTCTTGCTGCGCTTCTGCGACTCCTGAGTTGGTTTGTAGCCTGCTTGAGTTTATTTCGCCGTCGACGCAATCCCGCTCTGCACTCGATCTCATTCAATCAGTGTGCCTCGGGCTGATGGGATCTCCAGAGCTTCTTTTCGCCATAAGGAGACCCGATACTTTCCCGGCGCTTCCCGAGATCTTGTGAGAGGTCCCGGAGCAATCGACTGTCGGATGACCGTCGGAGACACAGGCCCGCACACGGGAAGGAGGAACGGCGAGGGTCTTCTGCCCTGCTCCAGAAATTTTCGGCCTAGTATGAACATTCGGAGGGCGAATCACTATTTCAAACCCTCGGCTCCCTCCGGAAATCGACCTGACCTACCCAAGAAAATTCTCGGCACGCGACTGATGAGAGCCCCACGGGTCTGGAGCTACGTGCAGCGAAATCGTTTCATTTGTCGTACAGATGGTGTCTGAGCTCGTGCGTCTCTCGTACACAGCGCCACCCGGCCGAGTCGTCAGATCTGCGCATCGGGAGCGGAATAGCGAAGAATACACCCTTCGTCTCGGTCTCTTTTTTTCCATTTCCCATCCCAACAGCTCCAACTGGAAAAGTAAAAAACAGGGGATTCGGGCATCCCCTGGTGTATCGAATGTCTCCGCGACCTTCTCTTCGATAACATTCGTCGATATTTCCGCGCATCACGAACGGGGCATTCTGAGAGCGAATAGTAGTAGCGGAGCGCCAGGAGAACGAACGCAGGGGTGGAGATGGGCGAGAAACATCTGAATCGTTTGGCGGAAAGGCCTCGGGAAGGCCTCCGCTACACAAGTTTAGAAGTGATTCGGACGTTCCGCAACAAAACGGCGACAGCCTCCAGCGCCTCGCTTTGTCTGTTCTAACGAGGCTGGGGAGTGCGATTCGCATTTGTCTTTAGTGAACTGGTTCCGCAGCAAGTGCGCCAAACGCCGACCTTCAGACGTCGTCTCCGTCGTTTCGGCCGACGTGAGGGTAATCAGAGACGACGTGTCCCTCTCCACGTGATTTGTAACGCGCGGGACGTCGCGCGACTCATTGACTCGAGGCCGATAAGCATTTCTATTGAGAATCAGAGGCAACTCATTGGGGTTGAGAGAACGAGGGTGACGACGAGCAAGTCGGAAAAAAATTACAAGATATGTTTGAGGCCTCCTCTGACTCCATTCAGTTCAAATCCACGTGAATTTACATGGATATTTTCACGTTCCGCACTCGATATCTGGGGAGGTTCAAACTATGGTTGAAGCATCGGTCTCCGAGTCTCGACAGCGAGTACAGTGAAATTCTTCCATAGTCGTGCGTTTAACGGACCGACTACTCTAGCTCGCAATTCAGGTCGTCGCGCTCCTTTGAGTGGGTACCTGATGAGACCGTCCGGAGTTATGAATTATAGACGCTTCACCGCAGCCGGGAGTCTCCCGTGTGAGCGCGGTGGCTATTCGAGTAAAACTTGTCGTATACCGTTGGTCGAGCAGCGACGGCATCAGCGACGTTCCCCAACTCTTGCCTTGACGGCGACTTCATTCGCTTCACCGTGAAAGCGGCGTCTATAACGGTCCGAGCTGACTGCCGCTACTCTCTGTATTGAAGTGTGAAACGTTGCATGTCAAGGACACCCATAAACGTGACCTCGAAATCCTATATAATCCGTCTGAAGGGATTTACGAGCGATCATGAGAGGGGCTCGCATTAGTCGATGGCGATTGACGTCGAACTTGAAGCTCTACGAGGGAACTCTCATCCGATAGCGACATTCTCCTTGACGTCGGAGTCTGCGCGAAGGCAGGTGGTGGAGTTGAAACAACAAGGCTGAAGACTACGGTTCCGCGTTGATCTAACAAGTTCAAGTCCGCGTCAATCCTGAGAGCGAAGTTTCGTTTTCCGACTCCGAAATCTGACAGCTTGTTTTGAACGAGAACCGACAGCTGGACCTGAGAGGGCTCTCGTCGTCTTGTGGTCGGCGCGGGGAAATTGGCCAAAAACAGGAGATGGAGACGGGAACGAGAGGAGAGACGGAACATTGGAGTAGACAAACCGAAGGCTCCAGAATCAGAGGCAGTCACTCAGTCTCGGATCGAGAGAGAAGAATGGTCAGAACTAACGGAACAAAACTCTTGCTTCATGTGCGCAAATGGTTCCAACTATAATCGACCATTTGTCAGACCCATAAGGATGCTGATGGCTCCCGCGTGTCCGCTTCTCTCATCCGTTCGCCTTCGTGAAGGGGAGACAGCCTTCCTGTGTCTTGTAGGTAGACACCATCCGATGTTCGAAGTCGACTCCCTCGCTCTAAAAATCCAGCTCTTCCTAATTGAGGCTTTTCTCCGATGTCGGAAAGGTCGAGTCTGATGCGAATCATGGCATCAGAGCTCCTCTTACCCAGGGCTCCTCAACAAATTGCGATTCGGCTCTTCTAGGACGAGCATCAATCGAAGCTCCTGTTCGCCACCTCTCCGGAACTGTCATCATGAATCCGAGACATTCGGCGTGACTCTGCTTGACGAATCTGATTGACGGTAAGCAGATGATGACTGAATTGTGATGGTGAGATCCGAATATCAAAGAGCCGTCATCCTCTCCTGCGCGTCTCCCAATAGAAAACATGATGCGTCTCCTGTCTCCCAGAGACCCGGCAAACGCCGCTCCGCAGTTGTCACGATTAGAAGCTTCCACAAGCCGGGAGACTTCAGCCATCGCCGCGCTACTCCCGTCAAGCGACCCGAACGGTGGAAGGTCTTTGAGTTATTGTCCTCAAGGGCAAGAATATCTCGCTGGAAGATCCGATCTAATGAACAAGCAGTGAATTTATTGAATCAGAATCCCCTAATTGAGCTCTACAGTTTTCATCTATTCCTGATACAATTCCATAATGAACAAATTTTTCGATCGGAACGGAGAAAACGAGCGGAACAAGTATCGAAACTGATTTCGTTCTATCTGGGCGAACGACCGAGTGATCTGATTTTCAGTCGGCTCCATGTCAGCTCTCATTTGTCGCTTTCCCGTCCCTGATCCTCATCTATAGGCTGTGTGCGGTCTCCCGAATCAATCCAATTCCCAACAAGCTCGGCATTAAATAGTGAATCGACTAGATTCTATCCGAGTGCGGCATAAATTAACGAATTGAAGGCATTGAATTTTCTTTTCTGTTCGCGGGGGTATCTCGGGCTCGGTCGAGTCTGGTTAAGCACCGGGAACTCCAATTTCTCTGTGATGCGCGCCACCCGGAGATCCTCGGCCGAATTTTGAGCGTTCTAGCTTATTACAGCACGATTTTCCACACCCGGCAGAGACAACACCGTTAACAGAAACAACTTCATAGAGCCAGTTTAGGGAACCACTCGAATTGGAGACAAGCTCGAGCTGTGATCACTCTGCGCCCTACTTGATCTTCTATGAACAAAAGTTCGAGATTGACACATCCAGGGTTCCCAGATCCACCAGTTATCCGATTGTGCTTGGCCTGGGAAACAGAAAGAAGGACAGTAAGTCATTGAGTGCAGCTTCCCGGATGGAGAAGTTCACCAGCGTTCTGCCAGCAGCACTAAAACTTCTCGGACAAGCACCGAGGACTGGGGTGCGTGCATCAGCAGAACCGAGAGGGGAGTCCCGGAACCATAGCTCATCCGAGCCCGCAATGCGGCCATAACGTACCTGACCAAGGATTTTTCCTTGATGAAAATGCCCATCACTGATTTCCGATAAGCTAATGATATCTTGGGTTCGCTCTCGGGATGCATGCCCAGCAGAATCCTTGAGCACCTCCCGCTGAAATGAGTGCCGTGTATTGTGGTCAATTTACCTCCATAATCAATCACCACACGACAGTCCCTGACTTTGGTGTCGGTGAACAGCTCAAGGGAAAGAGGCAACACCATTACTTGACCGGCGAATTTCGTCAAATCATTGCGAACTGCGTCAACTTCGCCTTGGAGATCTGTGAGGGCCTGACGGCTTCCGTCGAACATGACTTTTTTCAGGAGATCGTTCACTTCTGTGCGGTACACATCCAGAACTGGGAGAACACTCTTGGCGGTGAAGCCCCCGCCAATGTGCGTGGCTCCGAGACATCCGTAGACGGCGAGCAGATCGTGACCCATCTCCAGATGACAGCGCATAGCCAACAGGGTTTGTTCGAGTGTCGCCAACGTCTTCACGCATTCTTCCTCGTTGCGGGAACGGTCGAACTTGCGGGACTTGAGCTGCTCATTGTAGAACTGACGGAGGCGTTTGCGCAGGACTCTATTTTGAACGGATCTAGACGTTCGCCTCATAATGATTCGATCGATTTCGACAAGTCTCTCGAGGCTCACTGTCCGCGATCCGTTCTCTGCGCTCTACAGCCGGAAAGGCGGATCCGCTGCGATCTTCGAGACGGTTGTTCGCAGAGTGAGGCTTCAGACGCATGGCGGCGGCGTGCTTAATCGAAGCTCAACACCGAGCGTCAACAAACTCCCACAATCACGTACCTACCTTGCATGACGTCACATGTGTGAAGTGCAAACAAGGAAGCGTGCCATGGGAACTTCACTCAGAATCGCAGTCGACCCATAGGTCGGGAGCGGGGAATCAGCGGCTGGAAAGCACTTTGGTGGCTGGATATGGGATGCCGGGATATACAACATCCCCTAGGCCAGGAGCTCTTGGGGTCGAACCACTGGACGAAGCGACCCCGAAGCTCTGCTTGATGTGGACCCGAGTGGAGAAAGGGGAGAAAAACTTCTTGAGTTCGCCAAGCGTCATATCCTTGATCCGGACAGAACTCCAAGCCGAGACGTGCCATCGGAGAGAACCGCGAACCGAACGGAGGCTCTCAGCATACGTGGAGGAATGACTCCGACCTCGTGTCAGGTGATGATTCGCAGGCGAGATGGAGACTGCCGGGCACACCTTTCTAAATCCTGCGATGCGCAGATGAGTCAGGATGAGGATCGCTGCGGAAACTTCCATTCGGCTCCAACGGTTCCCTTTTAGCTTCTCCAGGGAAATTAACCCAGGCGCAAGAGTTCGCCTTCCTGTCTCACCGAAGTCGTCCAATCTCCGACAAAGAAGGAATCCCGGTCGTCTGTGTCCACCTCATTGCTGAGACGAGCCCGAACAATGACAGAATCGACCTTGTCGCGAAGGAGCAAACGAATCAAGTGATCCTCGCGAACATTTCCAACCAAGGTCCCTCAAGGAGTGAAAGTGAATTCAGCAGCTGCCATCCTATACATCCGTCGTTCTGACAACACGAATTGCATCAGCGGATGACTCCCCCCGAAAACTACCCTCGGGCGCTCTCGATATCAACATCGACGCAGAATCATCCTCAAAAAGGATGCGACCGAAAAGGAATTCGTATCTTTCACCGTTCCCATGAATTCGGAGGCGGGAAGGAGACGATCATGACTCATGACCCTATTACAGCAGGCCATCCGTTATAGGCTCTCGTACTATTGGAATGATGCTTGAGGCTCGTTTCGGGTCATGCAAGTGGTTTCTCCCGTCTCTTCGCTCGCGCAGGGATCACTCATTTCGATCTTATCAGTATTTCGGTATCCGGCCGCGATGGCCCCGCGAGGCGCGGGTCGGATACTTTGCATATATTTAATCACAATGACCACCTATGCCTGACAACTGCTTGCTGCATTGTCATAGGCATTCTGCTGCATTAAATGTGCGGAGCTCTTTGGTTTTCAGTGGTTGTCTCGGATTCTGGATCTTGTTCCGAGAGGCTCCCAGATCAAAGTTCGGCTTCGAACAGATCGAGAAGCATGAGCTTGAAAACTCTAGCGAAAAAGGCGATTTCACCGCATCAGACTGGAACACATCATTATACAACACATAGACAACATTCGGCCGGATAGATGGATCCTTCTGACAGGCTTGGGTTCACAGACGTCAACGTTGTCTAGATTCCTACCTAATTCGGGAGGTTTTCGCGAAGCCATCAACTCGACTCGGATCTATCCTGAGGAAGCGGAGCAGCGCTACCGAGAACTACCCGCTTAGTACCGGCTCACAGCTTCGGGTGCGTGAACGCTCATAGTCAAAACTCTCGAATGAAAAAGCTTCCCGATGTTCGTGCCGTTGACAGATCGGAAGCTCCACTCAGAGATCGATCTGATTGTGAGATTCTGATGGAAAATCTCACAATCAGCGACTTGATTCGGATCGATATTTTCTCCGAATCGAGCAGAAACGGGGAATCGGGCGTTTCAGGGGAAGTCTGCTTGATCCACCCCGAGCTTGATTCACTGCTTCCCCGAGGAGTAAATTATCTCGAGCGAATGGTGCGAAGGACCATGTAAGATTATATTCAGACTTCAGGCCCTGCTCCTGGTGTTGCATAGTCGTAGAGGAGTTATCAGATATCCCAGCTGAAGGCCCCGATTCCCGCTCATCTCGACCATTTCTATCTACTGTCTACGCACCCTGCGGCTACGGATATCCCTAACAGTGTTCCACGCTGACAGATAGAGGGCGCCCTGGTCACACCGGCGCAGCGCATGCCTGGAATGGCGAGGGACCAGGGAAGCCCCTTCCTAGTTGTGATGGTACCATACGAACCACCGCGTGGCCCGTCTGTTTCACGAGCAGCGTCGACGATCGTGTGCACAGGCGGCCGGATAGATCTGCTATACCGACGAGATACAGCATCGAGAACATTTGACAGGTCGAATAGTGTAGTTTCTGCCAAGAACTATTGAATGAATTCATCGAAAATGACCGGAATGATTCGCGATCTACCCAACATCGATCGAGGTTTGTGCGAGAATTACATTTCCTTGCGCGGACGCTCGAATCTCCGATCTCTAAAAGTCGATTCTGTCTGAGAAACACAAACGGAACTAGACATGCGGAGCTGCGAGGAGTTGTTTTGTGATTACTGGCGATATTTTCCTTGAAGCTGAGCCGCTCATAATTGTCCGTCTGGATGGGTTTCCTATTCGCGGTGTCAGGTATCCATTTTCTCGCGTGGCTGAGTCTTCTAACACCGGTGACTTATCGAGGAGAGAGCAAGAGAGCTCCCCTCATGCCTGACAAGTCGTGTCATGTATGACAAGCTGCGAGTCGCTCTCCTAGAAGATTTCCAAGCGACTAGGACAGGGGAGGAAGAAAGTATTCCCCACGGAATTCTGCTCCCCGCTCGCGTCGGCTTAGATTTGGGGTGTTCGCCGAATTCACGGGAAAGAATCAGCGACCTCGGGAAGCTCCCAGTTGCGCTCTCCTCCACGATGATGACGGGATCCGTTCCGGGACGCCTCCTCCCGATAAGCGAGTCAAGTCTCGAGCAGCTGAGGGAATGAAACTTCTGCCCTGTTGGGGAGCATCGCCTAGTAAAGTCAACTCTTGATTGCAGTTCGCCGCAATTTATTCGGCAAGAGTCTGTCCACTTCTGTCGAAGACATCACAGAAACTTCGAGCTTGCAAGAAGATCAAGAGAAGTTCCGAGAAAGATGGGGCTTCGACGTGACTACAGATTCGGCTATGCCTGACGGCAACTACGAGTGGGAACGATTAGATTTCGACGGTGAGTTTCCCGCATTTGCACTGTGAGGAGAATCGAGGCAACCGCAAGATAGAGGCAAATGATCAGTTGTTCCCTCACAACAGAATTGCCAGACGCGTTCAAACGCATGGGTGGTTGTCGACCACGAAGGTATTCCAACACAAGTACGGGAAGTTCGACGAACGAATCAGGTCGCAGCGAATCGTTCTCATCGTCGGACTCCTTCTCAATTCACACTCCAGTGAAATCGAGGGAAGCTAGAACACTGATAACAGGTGAGCAGAGCCGATATGCCCCGTGGATCGCGCGGGCAGCCTTTTTGTGGACCTTCTCGACCTCGGCTCAGAGCTCAGAGGGTCTGTCGGTAGGACGGTTATGCCTTCCAGAACGCCATCCTAAAGAGCCGTTCGATTCCGTCTACCAGATTACCTGCAATCCCAAGCTAAACGAACGCGCAGTGCTAAAGAGCATGCTCGAGCACGACTGGCTCAGCTCAACGTGATCCGCTAGGGGATCGCCGTGCCGAAACAACCTCTGTGGACATAAATGTACATACAGTGAGTGACTTTTTCCATTTCCCCCCTTTCCCGTCCCGGGAGAACTTGAGCTTGCCGCTCGATCGGCAGCAATTTCCTTTACCACCCTCGCCGCGCCGTTCGTCGCGGCGAAAGTAGAGGCTTGCGACGCTTCGAAACGTAACGTTACGCGGAGCAGGAAATGAAGTTCTCGCTCGATGTGGCTCCCAGAAACGATTCAAGGGGAGCGCGCGGGTATCGGGATCTACGTATGTACATACCTGCTAATCAATTAATCTATTACAGCCTTCGTGACGAGTCCAATGGATACGAGTCCGACTTCGATTTTGGATGAGATCTTGAAGTAGTCCTATGTGTGAACAGTGTGAGCGTCTTAGAGAAATTGATGATTGACAGCGAGGTAGGGGGGAACCCCTCCGGCCTTGCGGAGCTGTGGATCGGCAGCGATCCGGCGAGTAATTGTCGTCAGTTGCGAGCGAGAAATCCTTTATTTTATGCTGAGAGAAGATCTGGAATCGTCGTGTCTTTTGTTGTACAGTGTGATGGAACTGTTTGTAAGTGTGATAATCACTGTGAAAGGCTTGGGGAAATAAACGAGCCAGCAATCAATCAACTGATCGACGATCTGCTAACCAAACAGTGTGATGTGATGACCATGAATATATACGATATATCCGATGTAATATAAAGCAACTATATAAATTTCTATAACGCGTCATCGCTGACATCGAGAGTCTTCATTCGAACTAATTTCTGCATGTAGCGACATTAGGCATAGATATTCTTCGATTACGCAGATGAATTACTCTATTCTACTCTACTCTACTCTTCGCATTTGTCTACGTTCATTCGTCCCGGCGCAACACAACACGATGAGAAGGCTTCAGTAGCCGAACTCTGGGTCGGAGAAACTGTCTCTTATTGGGTAGTCCGTGTGGTCTCCGTCCAATGCTTTGCGTAGAGTTCGATACGGGAGCGTAACCGGTGGTGGTCTAACACAAGTCCCGTGCTAACCGTATGAGGTCTGAGAAAAAACTGCACAAGTGGTCCGAAATGCCCGTTGGCTTCTTACCGTGGCATGAATTCATTTTTTGAGATGGTAGTCTCTATTCGAACAAGTGTTCTTTTCTGAACTGGGGAGCAAACTACGTTGAGCCCATATTTTTCAATTCTCTCTGAGCCCGGCGGGATCCTCAAGAAGAACTCAAACCTAGCGTCGACGTCGACCGGTTTACGCGGAAGCTGATGGATTGCTCCGGGATTCATCATCACAGACGTGTAGACACCGCGTGGCTCGTGCACATCACGGAACGTCTCGCCGTCCATTCGGCTGTGACTTCTGGCACGGATCTATTCGAATTTATTATCGAGAGGTGCGTGCGCGGAGTCGAGTGGGAGAGCCCCTATCTTCCCGTGTTCATGGATTATGATTTTGGTTTATTCGATGCGCTTACCGGGAAACCGTTCACGCTCGATCTGGTTGATGAGCCCAACCTTTACGTATGGTTTCGCTCTCTACATGTTCGGTGTTATTGATGATCCCACCTAGACGACGATTCTGAGCCATAAAAGCGCGTGTGTCATGCATCAGTGGATCACGAGAAACTCATCCCCTGGCATACATGACTTTCACAACTCACATTCACACTTCGTAAGTCGTCCTGACCCCATCTGGAACGAATATCCAACGGCACGGGGGTTTTCGAGAGAAACTTGGACCAGGAGAGGAGGAGCTCGTTCGTTACCAAAACGCTTGAGGGTTTCGATTCATCGATTTCCAGTCATCTCCGGCAGAGCTATCTCTCTCGAGTCGAACCCCCAGGTCGAAAACCCGTGTCGATCCCCCGCTTGGGCCACCCCGATTCCACGGCGACACGACATGGATCTCCGCATAAACAGAAAGATTTCGGTCGACCATATTTCATGCCGAGTACATATCGGAAACATGTATAGTTAAAGTGAAACAATATGCGTCTGTCCGTACTCGAGCGGACCAAGCTGTGGTCTCCATAGACTACCCTAGTCCTTGTCACATGTGCCTTCCAATCCTAACGGTCTCCTGTCCAGACGTGGGTCTGGTCTGCCTGCCTGACGAGCTGCTAGCTACTCGCTCGCTGTGAGAAGTAGCAGCGGGGACCTATCGACTACGTTGTGTTTGCGCGAGACGAAAACGAAACACTCTCCTCCAATCGACTATATAAGAGCCCAGGTCGCTGCTGCTGCCGCCGCTGCTTTCAGGTGACCGTGCGTTCAACGGAATCTGTAGGACGTCTCTCATTGTTTCGAGGCACTTGCTCATTTAGATTAGACCGCTACGTCAACAAAGGAAGAACGACGCCGGCTGCCGCTGCGGCGACCGCTGCAGCGGCGATCATGACCGGAGACTCGACCAGACTCACTGACGGACGGCCAAACTGACTGACTGACTGACGAATAGGTAGACAGGATGGCAGGAGGCAAGGATAGACCGACCGATGGCGACCTGACTGACTGTTCCAACGGAAAGTCGTTACAAACCTACAGCGTAGCCGAAAGAACACTAAATACTGCAAGGTAGCGGTAGGCATGGCACGCGTGCGAGGCGACGCTAAAACATTGGAACGCCCGCCCGGCCTGTTTGTCCGTCAGTCTTGCTGTCTACTTAGTCTAACGGAAATTCTGAATCGTCCCTTACGAGTCCGTTCGTTCCTCTAAAGCATAAGATGCTGAGATTAGGAGCTATTGTTCCGGGGGATCGCGATTGAAGCAGCATTCCGCGATTAATGGCCATCGAACATCGTCTACTCGTATAAGCTCCAATTACGAGGACAGCCGGACCTGCATGTCCATCGAACCAAGGTGCATGAATCCACAAGTTGCGTAACCGTGATTCGCTTTCATTCCCGGTTCTCTGTATGAGACATGCGCTCCCTAAATCGAAATCGATGTCAAGGGTGGCGCAAATGCTGTAATGGGAGCTCCTCGAGATTAGCAATTCGAATCACAACCCGAAAGAATAGCAATACATTCTTGAAAGTTCTGGCAGAATTATTCCTTCCGTCAGCCGAATCGTCAGCCTGTTCTCGCTCTCTTTTCGATCCTCCATCATTTCATGGCCTGTGAGCCGGGAGCTTTCGATGCCCTGACATTTCCCCAGAAGTCGCTCAATTGTGCTGTCAGAATCCATGTCCCCGGCCAGGAATTTCGGGACCGCTCCTTGCCGGGATCGGTAGCCGGGTCAGTCCCAGACCTCATTCCTGCGATCGGCTGTCTTT